TAGATATCATCATTACACCTAATAAGTAAATCTTCAGATTGTTTCCTTCTGAAAATTAGTAGTATACTTGTGTTTGAAGCTAAAAATGATATTCTTTTTATTGTGTGCTCTCGGACACTGCTGACCCATTGTCAAGTATTTGTGCTTCAACTGCTCTTCAACTGTCCTGCAGATTTGGGTGTGGCCAGAACGATTACAAACTATGCATCTTCTTGGGTTCCATGACATCTTTACGACAAAAACTTCAGTGACAAGGATTCGTGCTGTTCCTCGTTATAGTTTTAACATTGAGACTCTGGAGGGACTAAATACAATGCGTCCAACCATAGGGATCATGCCATCTGGTCTCCCTTGGGCGCCAAAAGCTTTCAGAGGAATGGAAAAACTTCCCTTGGGATCTCCTCCGTTGCTCCTTCATAACAGGTGGCACACAGGTGTTACAACCTCTAGTACCTCAAGCAAGACAAATGGAGGTTCATTAAGTTCAGGGAGACATGATCATTACATATATACAGTTCCATATTCTGATCACTCATGCTTTTCAGAGTTACAAAAATTTATTGAGTTTGTCAAACCAATTAATATCAAAAGCATCGTATCTTCATCTGCTTGTAATGTTGACCCCCTTTACCACTTTGGAAGCATTTGTCGAATCCAACAAGCATCAGAGCTCTTATGCCAGAGGCTCAGAATTAAAAGATCTGAAAAAATTGGAGTCATTGACATGAAGTCTTCCTTTGGATGCACCGGCACGATGCAATTAGGGAGGAAAAAGAGAAAGAGACAAATTTCTAGAGCAGCTATTCATGTTAGTAGGGTGAGGTTGTTGAGAAGAGAGAGGCAAGGAGTAAAGATTGTGGATACAAATCCTGATTAAAGTACTAGATGTCCTTCCCTTGCTATTTTTAAATACACAGGTTCTGAAGTCATTCCTGTGTGTAATGATGTTGAACTTGCTGTCAGTAGAAGCAGCAAAGGAAATCTAGTTTAGATTTTAACTTGTACATCTCGAGATCATCTATCAAATTTGAAGAGGTCAAGAGTTTGGTTTCCTACTTGGTTCCACATAGTTCATATTACTTTGTTAAACTTTTCTCAGGATTGTGGACAAATTAATATCTCAATATTTTAATGCACTCTAACAGGAAGTATACTCCATTTTGTACAAATGCAACCTCCTTAGAAGATCTAATAGCAAAATATACTATTTGACCTGTTAAATTTGTTACAAAGATTTAGTTTGGTATACAAGATCAGATTGCGTGATATGCTATTGTTGTCCAGAATTTCCCTGGAAGAGTGTTTGCATCCACCAAAGGTGTTGCTACTTCAAATATTCTGTGATTTACTTCTTCAGATAATTCGTTTGATAGATTGCTGAAAGATAATTGACACACCTGAATGTGAGTTTCTGTTTCTTTTTAATAGTTTATGCAAATATTCAGCAGTTCCTTCTTCTGCAGTGAAGGAATAAAGAGATTAAATGTTTGCCGATGGTTCTCTGTTGAGGAAATAGCTCTGTTGGTTCTTGACTGGTGACATTGGCAGTGGTCCTCTTTTCTAGAGAGACAATACGATCCACCATGGGTCCATAGTCTCATATATGACATGTAAACTAGATTGCTAGAGAAACTTCTATATATTTGCTGGATGATAAAAGCAGCATCTTTCTCTCTCTTTTCTTTTGTGTTTGTGTGAATTGTTTGATGCTGGATGTTTCTGACTCTCTTGCAGTATAGTTCCAACCACCAGGAAATGCTAGCCAATCATCCCAGTTAAAGTTGTATCCGGTGGCCACCAAGTATGGTTCCAGACAGGATGCTCCACTGCAAAGTCTGGTATAGGAATTCTCACATAACAAAACATTTTATACCTGTTTCGTCTTTGTGAACTTTGTTAAGCAGGCATTTAATCGTGTCAGTTTGAAGGGAGTTCAGTTGCAGTTCTTTCTTTAGTTGAGTTAAATACTTACAATTAAGTTGAATTGAAGTGTACACATTTTAGCCTGAGGAAGATGCATACATATTTATGTACTTAACTATCTAGTTCAAGATCTAGCTCTGTAAGCTACACTTTGTTTGACAATATAATAACATGACTTTAAGACATGGTTGGTGACAAATGTTTCTTCATGATAAAAAAAGTTACATAGCCTTAGACACATAAACGTTCTTTTTGTACTTTGCAACCTGCAAATATCAAATTTGGATGAGAAAGAAAGAAAAGGGAAAAAAGAAAATGATCAAGCTATTTGACGTCTGACTGAGTCTTTGGCGTGTCGATGGATTCAAAGTTATAATATTCCAACTTGCAGTTAATGCAGGGGGATTGCGGCTTCAAGTCCTTCACAATCAGAGTATTTTAAGGTTCCAACTTCAAAGGTGCGTTTGTTTTCATTCTTGCTGAATTGACATGACTGGCCGTGGAATTTACAGCGTAGTTGTGGAAAAAAAAAGGTTCTGGTAGTCAACATCTGTTGTTTTCTGATTATTAAGATTATCATTCAGCAGTATTAAATAGAATATTTTATTTCTTGCTGAGTTTCTTTTTTGACTCCTAGGGTTTATCGGAAATATTTTTCTACTTTCACAAGGTAGGGATAAGAATCTGTACGCATCAAGCTCCTGAAACCCCAGAAGTGGATTAGCATCCTAGCTTTAACACCTTCTTTATCTCTCTTAAACAACTGTTCCTTGTAGGAAATCACTTCATTAGTTTTAAGATTAGAATGATTTAAATTTATAAATCTTACTTAAAATACCATCTGATCCATTTTCACATTTCTGTGTTACCTTATTTGCTTAGTGTATATTTCCTATGGAACACAAATTGTAGATTACTTGATCACTTAGTAAATGCAGAATAAATATAAACATACCAAATAGTACTTCTTTGCGGACTTGCTGCAGTGGTTTAGCTATATAGATGGAAGGGTGATAAGTTGTCTATCTTTCATCGGAAAAATATATATTTTAGGATTGTGCAGGGAAAATTGAAATTATGTACTCCTTTCGTTCATCTTAGGAAATCAATAAATACAATGTGTAGTTTATTAAACTATACTTACTTAATAATGTTTATTGATAATTAAACACTATTAAAAAGATGAAACGTATGAGTATAGTTGAAAAAATCACACAATTTGTCTTTGAATTTTAAAAATGACACTTATTTTTAATCAGATGAAGTACTTTTTAAGTTGGCTATAGTTTTATTCTATGTACAAAGTCATGAAAAGTAAATGGTAAAATGATTATCACCTAAATGGTTGAGTCTTAAACTAAGAGTATTCGTATTAGTCCACTTTAATCTGTGCCCAATTCACACGAAATGTGAAAAAGGACGTGAATGGTTGGCCAATGAATTGTAGTAGTATTGCCAATCAGTAGCTTTCTTGCACAATTTATTTTATATTAATATAAATCAATCATGCCAATATATAATTAATTTTATATTTTATATTCATTTATTGCTCGTTATCTTAGAAGAAAAAGATTGTTGTATACTGTATACTTATTTGGTAAGAGAAACCTACTGGACATCTGGATCCACTTTAGTGGCGGTTGGCTAAGCATTTACTTTTCTCCACTAAAAGTTAATGTGGGTAGCTGAGACTTATTCAATTTGATAGTGACTTATCAAATTATGATTAATGCTAATGGAATTATCGGATTTAGCTAAACTAGGGGGTGCTTTTGGTAATGTTTTGTCGAAAAACATATGGTTTGTTTTAAAGGTATTCGATACATAAATACAAAAAAAAAAGTTATCCTATAAATATATATATATATGTAATTTAGCACAAGACTACACGAAGGGAGTAGGGTTCAAGGGTTGTGAGGATTAGTTGGTGAAGGGGTTGGGGACGTTGGATGGATGGGGAGAAGATAATAAACTTGAAATGCCATAGATATCAAGTAATTCTGTTTACCATATCTTAGGTCAAATGAGAAGAAATAATCTAATAATTTGTTGGGAATTAAACTTGAGATCTCATAGTGCTTAGCTCACTTCGTTGACCATTACATCATATTTTTGAATGTCTTAAAATGTAACTTGCGGAATTTTTTCTTCCTGACTTTTTAGAAAATAATTTTTCAAAACGCCTATCAAATATGAAAATATTTTTACAAACACATCTAGGTGACTGTCATTTTTGAACTTTTAATAGTCTCCATTGGTATATTAGGCGCGATAATGGGTGAGTAAAAAAATCTTTAGCCTTGACTTTTCTTCCTCATACATAGCAAATGGGGAGAATCTCTTCCAGTTGTGTTTGCCTTTGGCTCATAGAATTACTATCATGTCCCTGGATTTTTCATGCTTTGAATTATTGAATATATATGTTCTGGAGTGAATTTCAAGGACTTGCTGATGGTTGAAAAAACAGTCATACCTCATGCTATTGTGCATCAATAACATATTCATATTTATATGGTTGACCCATTCTCTATATGAAATATTTGTTCTGTTCAGCTATGTCATAAATGAAATTTTATGATGTATGACAAATTTAAATATTTGTCTATAATGCTATCAGTTCGTCAACGTAGACAACAGAATATTTGATGTCTGGCATAGATTATATGTTTGGTAAATTATGACATTTAATCGGAAAAATTTGCTCCTTAAATAAATTGATTTTTAATTTTTGTTCCTAGCAATCGAACTTATGCCTACCAAATTATGGAATTCTCATTAATCTACTTTTCCCACATAGAAGATTGAATTTGACAACGTAAATCTGGTCAGTTTTTAATATTAAACCATATAAGAATGAAAATTTGTGTTTGGAGTGTTAATGTAAACATGGGTACTATTGCTAGTTACAAGGTTCATTTTCCTCATTTTTTTGATAGAAAAGTAAGTCTATGTTCTTGTTTAAAACAACTGTTTTCTAGTTTTTAATTCAATTATTGTTTCTCTAATCACTTCTTTATTTAATAGAGTATTAATTTTTTATTTTGGACAGAGGGATTAAGGGTGAAAAAGTCAATTTAAGATTGTCCTGTTGACTTGACACCAGCAGTCATATGAAAGTTTATTTGTCCATTTTCAAACTGACCCATTCTTCAAGATAATCCCATGAATGGCTTCTGCCAAAAAGTGATATAAATCTCTCTGTCCTCTGCACAATCTCTGAGCAGCCATGGAGATCAAAAACAATTCTTTTCTCCTCTTTTCTTTGTTGTACCTATGTCTCTCTCTCAAAACCTATCTCTCCATTGAAGCTGCTGACACCATTTCCGCAAATCAATCCCTTTCTGGAGACCAAACAATTATCTCTTCAAATGGGAAATTTAAGCTTGGTTTCTTCAAACCAGGTAGTTCTCCCAACTACTACATAGGCATGTGGTATGATAAAGTGTCTGAACCAACTGCTGTTTGGGTTGCAAACAGGGAAAAACCAGTTCTTGATAAGAATTCTGCAGAGTTAAAGATCTTAGATGGTAATTTGGTACTGGTGGATGAATCTCAAACTTCAATTTGGTCCACAAATATCAGTTCCAGCAACTCGAGTTCTGTTGTAGCAGTCCTTCAAGATGATGGTAATTTGATCTTGACAGATGGGTCTAATTCAACACCACCACTTTGGCAAAGTTTTAATAACCCCACCAATACTTGGTTGCCTGGTTCTAAACTTTCTTACAATAAAGTCACCAGAACAAAGCAGCTTCTTACTTCATGGAAGAGTGCAGATGATCCTGCGCCTGGGCTGTATTCACTTGAACTCGACCCAAATGAGAAGCAGTATATTATCAAGTTCAATCGAAGTGTGGACTATTGGAATACTGGACCATGGAATAATCGAATTTTCAGAGATGTGCCTGAGATGAGGACTAACTATATTTACAATTTTAGCTATGAGGACAATCAGAATGAAAGCTATTTTACATATTCCCTTTATGATGATTCTATCATATCAAGATTCATTATGGATGTCTCTGGACAGATTAAGCAACTCACATGGTTGGATAATACAAATCAATGGAATCTGTTCTGGTCTCAACCAAGACAACAATGTGAAGTTCATGCATTTTGCGGGCCATTTGCTACCTGTCAGGAAAGCTTACCCTTCTGTAATTGTTTGGATGGTTTCAAGCATAGTTCAGAGACTGATAGGAATCAAAATGATTTTTCTGGAGGATGTGAGAGGCAAACGAAGTCGCAATGTGGCAATGGTACTGGGGAAAGAGATGACTTTTGGATGCATCCCCAGATGAAAGTACCTGAAAATGCTCAAAATATTTCTGCTGGAAGTGATGAAGAATGCAGATCTACCTGTTTGAATAATTGCAGTTGCACTGCTTATGCTTATGGAAGTTCATGCTCAATTTGGAATAGTGAACTCTTGAATATGCAGCAACTCCCACAAAATGATGGCAGGGGCGAGTCGATCTATGTCAGGGTAGCTGCATCTGACATCCCAAAATCAAAGAGTAAAAAGGGAATTCCAATTGGTGTTTCTGTGGGGTCTGCTGCTGCCGTACTGATCCTTCTGGGCATTCTTTTTGTTGTATTCCGGAGAAGGCGTAGGCATATTGGAAGTGGGAAAATAGTGGAGGGTTCACTGGTTGCATTTGACTACAAAGACTTGCAACATGCGACTAAAAATTTCTCAGAGAAGTTAGGAGGTGGAGGCTTTGGTTCTGTTTTTAAAGGGAAACTATCTGATTCATCTGTTATTGCTGTTAAAAGGCTCGACAGCATCAGCCAGGGAGAGAAGCAATTTCGATCAGAAGTCAGCACAATCGGGACAATCCAACATGTTAATCTGGTACGCCTTCGTGGATTTTGCTCTGAAGGTAACAAGAAACTGCTGGTTTATGATTACATGGAAAATGGATCCTTGGATTCACATATTTTTACCGAAAAGCAGTCAGATGTTATGGATTGGAAAACAAGGTACCAGGTGGCACTAGGGACAGCAAGAGGCTTGACTTATCTCCATGAGAAGTGTAGGGACTGCATCATACATTGTGACATAAAGCCTGAAAACATCCTTCTTGATGCACAATTATGCCCCAAAGTAGCAGATTTTGGCCTGGCAAAGCTTGTTGGGCGCGATTTTAGCAGAGTGCTTACTACTATGAGAGGCACAAGAGGTTATCTTGCACCAGAATGGATATCAGGGGTGGCCATTACAGCCAAAGCCGATGTTTATAGCTATGGCATGATGCTTTTGGAAATTGTATCAGGGAAGCGAAACTCGGAATACTCTCAAGATGGGAAAGTGAAATTCTTTCCTAGATGGGCTGCACGTGTAGTCGTTGATGAAGGCGATATCCTTAGCCTATTGGACTATAGGCTGGACAGAGCTGCTGATGCTGAGGAGTTGTCAAAAATATGTAAAGTTGCATATTGGTGCATCCAAGATGATGAATTTCAAAGACCCTCAATGGGTCAGGTTGTTCAGATTCTTGAAGGAGTTTTGGATGTGAATTTGCCTCCTATCCCACGCTCTCTTCAAGTTTACGCAGACAATGAGGAGCACATCATTTTCTTCACCGAGTCATCCTCGAGCCAGACTAGCTCACAAGCTCAGAGCAAAACTTCAAGTACAACATCTCAATCTAAAAGCATAGCAGAGTCTACGAATTCCAGGTCTTAAATATGACTTTCAACTACTACTTGCAATGTATATCATTAGTAACTAATTCGAATTATCTATGCTTAGCTCTGTAAAATGATATAATGTTCAGCCCTTGCATTATCTGTTGAGTTTGCCGGGTTCACCAAGTTTATATTATTTCATACTTTTGGTAATTTTGTGGTGATCATTGTCAACAAGTATCAACTATTAACATTGGAAATGACAATTGCGATGTCCGTATAACTCTGTGGCCTCTTTTGAAGAGAAAATCAAATGATGGAATGGCTTTGCTTGAGAGTCGTCGGGATAATAGTTCATCTTTCTGAGCCGTCCAGCTACCTTTGTGATGCAATTGCCTCTACCATGAACAATTTTGAATTTAGTTTGCTTCCGTCACTAACCAATTCAGTATGGCCAGTGGGCTTTGTGTTTGAACCTTGATTCCGGACCTATTCGACAAGATTAGCTCCATCTACAAACCTTGGTCCAATATTTGCATTTACAAGCTAGGGCTAGCCATCTATAGACGAACATCCTTGCATAGACTTTTCTCCTTTAGGCTCCTGTAAGGCGGGTATGAGAAAGGTCCCCCTCTCCCTTTGTCAAAGCTTATTTATGTGTGGATAAGAACTCAGTTTTGCGTGTTGGATGACTTGGACTGTTATTTTTACCAGAACTTCAGCTTCTTCCATTTCCTTGAAATATTCTCTGGTTCCTTTGTTGGACCAATGCCAATGTGTAGACTTGCTTTGTCATTTTGTCCATTTGCTCTACAATTACTAGTTGAATTGTCTTTTTTGGTACCACAAAAATTTGTGACCAGAAAGTTTGGATTGAAATTAAGATGCTGGTTATCAGCCCCCCTCCCTTTTTCAATTTTTTTTGACAAATCAAACATGAAAAATAAGAGAATATTTCCTAGTTGAACATCCCCTAGCATACAAAAAGAAAAAAGAAAAATCAAATTAGAAGCATATGAGAATTGTTGGAAGCTTCTACCAAAAAAAGGGAAAATGCACAAGATAGTGTCACGTAGGCCGAAAAAGGATTGAAAATTATTAATAAAATTAGTTCAGAGGTAATAAGACCTTAGTATAGTACAAGTGTGTCTCTGAGATAATGCACAAGTACCCCCTCAACCTATGCCCGAAACCTCAGAATTGAATATTACAAAATCAAATCGAAAAATTGAATGGACCTCCAATATTTAGTTGCCCTATTTAGTTTCATTGTACATCTAGGTGATAGCCCTTTTCTTTCATACTTTCACAAATTCATAACCCATAATAACTTAGAGGCCCTTTTAATAAATGGACCATCTGGGTCGAAGTTAAAGATCTCCAAGGCTCCAACAACAAGCCCAACTTATAACTTTTGAGCCCAATTTATATTCTATAGTTCAATGAACAACTTTCACATATAGCAAATATAGAAGGGAAAATTTCACATATAGTCACTTAAAAATAATTAATTACTCTCCATAGATATAATTTGATAATTACAATTTGTAGCTACAAGTTATATGGGGGAGAGAGGAGAGCGAGACTGGGAGAGAGAGGTGAGAGAAAAGAGTGGAGAAAGGTGAATTGTATATGTATATTGGTTAGATAATTGTATATTATACATAAGCATTTGTATATATGGCAAGAGAGATTGGGAGAGTGAGGAGAGAGTCAAGCGAGACTGGGAGAGAGTGGAGAGAGGAGAGCGAGAAAGGACAGAGAGAGGTGAATTGTATATGTATGTAATTGTATATAACTGTATATTATACATACACATTTGTATAAATGACAAGCAAGATCGGGAGAGGGAGGAGAGAGGTGAGCGACAGAGGGAGAGAGGTGAATTATACATGTATATAACTGTATATTATACATATACATTTATATAAATGACAAGCGAGATCGGGAGAGGGAGGAGAGAGGCGAGCGATAGAGGGAGAGAGGTAAATTGTATATTATACATATGTATTTCTATATCCCGACGAATTATATATATACAAAAAGGACTAATTATACAAACTCGAAGTCAGCCTACATAATTAATGTATAAATGTTAGTCGCGAGTGATAATTATAACAAACTATAGCTATGATGAGTAATTAAATAGTATAAGTTTGCTTAGCCGCATAACTTTCATATTTATATGTTATAGTTATAGTTAAAGAATGTTTGATATGAGAGAAAACAAATCAAAGTTTGCAAGCAAAAGTTTATAAGACACACGTTATTGCCTTATGAGATATAAGTTTGGTTTTAAAATATTATTACCGCAAAAAATCTTATAACTGCTAAATTATGCCTTGCAAGATTAAAAAAAACTTGCAAGACAGTTCACAAGCCAAAATTGACAAGACACATGTTATACAATATATAATTCAATTTCAAAAATCATAAAGTTTTATCTATTTTTAAAACTTTTACCATATAAGACAAAGTTTCACTTAACATAAACTTTGCAACTTGAATACTACACAACAACTTTTGCCTTGTGAAATTATGCTCACAAATTTTACTCTAGATGTATCATTATTATAAATTTTTTCTTTTGCTCTTACACAAAAAAAATATATATATAGTATATCCGAGTTTGGAGCCTAAAGGGTACAAAATATTAACAAAAATTCTAAAACGGTATATAAAATTTTATATTAACCAAAACGGTAAAATTGCTGCACCAACAACGACTTACCCTACCGGAAAAAGCAAAATTGCTGCCTCTGCAGCGATTTTGCAAAATCTGATTTTTTTTCTTTTAAAAAAAATGAAATCGGTGCCTAAGCAACGATTTATAGAATTTTTTTTTAAAAAAATAATAGGAGCAGCGATTTCAAAAAAAAAATTCTTTTAATAAAATCGTTGCTCGCTGCTGGGGCAGCGATTTAAAAACATTTTTTTTTGAAATCTTAAATTTTTTTTTATGAAATCGCTGCTCCCAGCAGCGATTTCTTTATTTTTTTTAAAAAAAAATCGCTGCTGGGGCAGCAATTACCTTTTTTTTTTTAGAAATCGATGTCGTGGCAGCGATTACCAATTTTTGTTTAAATAAAAAAATTCTATAAATCGCTGCTTTCACTTTTTTAAAAAGAAAAAGTCAGATTTTGCAAAATCGCTGCAGTGGCAGTGAATTTGCTTTTTCCGGTGGGGTAAGTCGCTGTTGGTGCAGGGATTTTACCGTTTTGGTTAATATAATATTTTATATACCGTTTTAGAATTTTTGTTAATATTTTGTACCCTTTCGGCTCCGAACTCTAGTATATCCTTCTCCATCTTAATCGATTCTATTGATCATTAAATTATAATTTTTCAATTATAAAATTGATCTATTATATGTAGAGGCAAATGAAGACTAAAAATTTAGAGATTCTAAATTTTAGAATATAAGATAAAATTATCACAACTTCAAATCTACAACATTATTATTAAGGTTTTTTAATCAATTTGAGCTCGAGGCTCGTTTTATTAAAAAAGACTATTACTAGGGCTTTTAAAGTTTTTTTTTTAAATACGAACTCCTATTTACTCCGCCTCTAATTATATATTGTGTCATTGTGGGATCAAAGTTTAACTTTTTCTCTTTTTTTCGCAAGCACCTAATCTAAGGGTACCAAAAAAGAGGAGAAGATTTTCTTCCAATAAAGTTGAAAAAAATACATCTTTTTCAGAACAATTAGGGCTAAGCAAAGGCCACATGATCGAGATCAATGATAAATGCCATAAAAATAAAAAATAAAAAATTACGTTACTAAATTAATATTTTGTAGTTAATTATATTTAATAATTATAACCTTAATTAATTATGGAAAACCAATATTGTTTAAGAAAATAGCTATTAAGTCAGGTCCCATGTTGTGTATTAAAACATGTAGAATCTTTTTCTCGTTTTATACAAATCAAACATATTCTATCTTATCACACTTACTTATTTTGCTCCTAAAATTATAAGGTTATACTACATTTATTAATTCACATATACATACTTTAAAAAACAGTGTTAAAATCTTATAAACTGTGTTAACTGTCAATAAATTTAGTATGGCTATAAATTTAAAAAATAAATTAATTATTGCTAAAATTATATATTTAATAACAATTTAAGTCATTACCATTTAATCGTTAATTAATTATCGTTATATATCAATTTCTATACGATATTTATATAGAATGAAGTTAGGTTTAAGCTTATTAATACACACATGTATGGTAGTAGATAAATTAATATATGACCAAAAAAAAAAAGCTTTTAAAAGGAACTTTATAGCTATCAACTAAACACTCAAGTGGGGGTTGAATCTTTGTTGAAAACTAAGATATTGTAAAGGACTTTATATATATATATATATATATATATATATATATTATTT